TTGCAAGCTGGCAGAGCTCCAGCCTGCTTGGGGCTGCCTGAGGCCCCCCTGTCCCACACACAGCGGGGCTGGGGCCTGGGGGTGGAGGGCAGCAGGTCAGGAGTGAGGGGCGCTGGGGTAGGGACTGGCCATTGATGTTTACAGATGGATCCTGGTACAAAAAAAGTTTGAGAACCACTGGTCTACAGCCCTCCCTCCTGACTCCTAGTCAAACTCAGCAGGCGCCACATCTTCCATTAATCTCAAGAGGACTTAAATGTTATCGGATGGTCACAGCCAGAGGATGGGGCCAACACTGATATGGGGCTCTATATAATTAATATGAGAATTAGTTTTTAGATTGTTGTGGTCTAATTGAGGAGATAGAACAATTTTCAGCTCTTTTAATATTCTGTATATTAAACCTGCTCTAAGCAGAGTTATCTGATAAAGTATTCAAATGGAGAGAGCAACTAGTTGCCTGTTTTCACTGCTGCAGATAGCGGTGGATCTGAACTGATATCAGATGTGCCAGTGCTTGGGCGACAATGGTGCTGTGAGCTTTTGGACTGGAAATGCTGTGCACAGCAATGAGATGTTTTACAAGTGTAACAATGGTTGCAGCACCAAAATACCGTATTTACTTGAATACAAAATTAATTTTTGTCCCTCAGTTGTGGGAAAAAAGCCCCTTGTCTTATAATTGCGTACAAGGAAACCTCATTAAATACACTGTCTATCATTAAACTATTGCTAAAAGCAGCATGTGCTCAGTAATGGAAATCAACTATGAAGCTGCTTAAATACAGTCAACACAAGCCTCAAATGTCTGGCAATGTTTCTTCACAAGCCTTAAATGTCTGGCAAACATCACCAAACTGGGCCCTAAATAAGTCACCCAGAATTCACTCAGTTACAATCATGATGCGGGGGCTAATTAGCAATGGACCCTGTGTGGTGGGTATCTGGAGTACACACACATACTGAGCAGTGCTAAGCTGTGGGATCACCATGGCTTGAAATGCTGTTGACTGCTGGAGCTTAGCCCAATGAACTATGTGGTAAATCATGAGCCTTCTGGCTTTGGACTAATAGCATGCATACTTTGTACTACATATAAGTACGTACAAAATTGTTGCTTAAACGTATGTTTATGGAATATCTGTGCTAAAACTTGCAGCAGTTTCAAAAAAGATAAAATGCATCCATCCTGGATGAACTAAGTTTATGGGTACCTGTAGTAATTTGCCTATATGATAAATTATGTTTATTCCAAGGTCAGTGCTTTCAAATTGGCTCCTCACTTTCATGTGCTGAGGGAGAGCAGACAATAAGGGAGAGGGGGGAGAGAAGGAGACTGTCTGACCCCCTCAGATTTATTTTCCTTCCTGTAGCAGTGGGATGGGGACAAATTCAAGACCAACTTCTAATAATTAGACTTTATTTCCAGAAAGTTATAACAAATTATACATTTTCCATATATAGAAGCTAATTACTGGGGGGGGTCATCTTGTATACATTTTATATTCAAATAAATATGATATTGTAGTGGAGACCCAATTAGAAAAATCGGCTTCTGTTCTCAGTCATGAGGGTGTAAATCGGGAATGATTTCATTGTGTCAATGGTGTTACACAATGCAAAACTGAGTAAGTGACAGCAGAATCAGGCCAGGCAACACCAGGGTGTGGTACAAATTTATATGCTGTTACTTTGTGCTCTTCTAATATAAGTGGAAGGTGTGAAAAGACAAAAACCAGATGACTCTACACTGGCTGTACCTCTTAGGAACTTTCAAAGCACACATTATTTCAGCTAAGGTTGAAATGAATTTAAAATACTCCCTAATCTATCTGATTCAAATGAAATCATAGGAATTAATGCTTTGTCACTTGCTAATGCTACCTGTCTGTCTTCTAATCAGAGTCCCTTTCAGGTGTTCACATTAGAACTGCAAAAGGAGATCTCTAGAGATTTACCGACTTAAGGAGACAAGAGAATGAGAGAAGACTGTTGCTAATCTTGTTAAATTTTAGCTACCAATTTGTAAATTTAGCCAAACTACATATGCATAAAAATATGTGAGAGACACTATCATGGCTACACCATCATGCTTACACAGCCACATGGGTAAAAACAAATAACTGAGATTTACCATGTGGCTCTAATGACAGTACCCAGTTTTAAAAGAATTGACCAAAAATAACCACGCAAGCTTTCTTATGCAATGATACATTTCAATTGCCATCTTGGCAAAATTTGCTACTCCTGGAGGTGGCTAATGAATGAAAATTGAATAATATAACGTTATACTCACCTACAAGCCAGGGAAGCCAGTACTTAGACATCCTTCCATCTGTCTGCATGTCCCAGGGATGCACAAACAAGCTACAGTTTAATTGCTCAGCAGCCTTCAATCAAGAGAAAACAAAGTGCAGTACAGACTTAACAGTAAGGTAGACCCTGGATAGCCCATGGGGTTAGGTTCCTGCGAGGATGAGGGCTTGTGAACTAGCTGGGGTATATACAGCCACAACAAACAGCTGTGTAGGATCATTGAGCTGACTTCAGAAAAGGTACCCTTTGAAATAAAAGCTGCGGCAATCAGCTGCATGGGACTACTGCTGTACTCCAGCTGTGTTGAGAAGCAGTGCCCATGAAGTAAAGGCCACTGTAAACAGCAGCACAGCTCATCCTTTACTTGGCAATTAGCTGTGAATTAAGTGGGTTATGGATCACTCAGGTTGAATAATCTGCATAAATGCCAATATGCTCCAGGCCAGGGCTATCCAATTGGTAGCCCATGGATCACATGTGGTCCATAAGCACTTCCTTTGTGGCCCGCAGACTCCCACTGCCCTTGCACCCTTGGTTCCCCATGCTTTTCCTACATTGTTCCTGGTTTGTTGAGGCTACATGACTGGGGGGAAGCCCAGAGTAAATGTTGTCTGAGGCAGGGGAAGAACTTTAAGTTGAGATTTTTCCTTTTTTTTTTGTCATGCACACCCAGTGGACTGAGAGCAACTGTAAGAGGAGATGTGGAGGCCACAGGACAGGTTGTTCCAGCACCCAGCCTGACCTATTTCCCATGAAGAAGGTTGGAGCCACAGGTGTCATAGCCCAAGGGCCCACTGTAGTGCTGCAAGGTGTTGATTAAGGTGGCTGAAATGGTTAAGGTTGTGGGGTCTAGCCCTGGAGGTATAGACACCTGGAAGTAGCCCAAACCCCAAGCTGCTTAAACTGAAAGGCAGAGACTGAGGAAACAGGACATAGAGACAGAGATGGAGGAGACTGGTTAAATGACAGCTGATTAGGAAACCACCCTAACACAGAGCCACACCAAGCAGCAAGACTCAGCTTTAGAAGTCCTCCACTTTCCACTCCCATGGCGTTCTCATTGTTAAGCAAAGAAAATACTATCTTGATCAGGGCTGTAAAACTTTTAAAGAGATCTCCCATTCTGTCCCATGTAGATAGCAGAGAGGCACTGTGAGTAGGAGATGATTTATACAACATTGGTAGATGTCAGGGGCAACCTGTACATAACAGAATGAATGAATGTCAGTCTGACATTAGCTGCAGAAAAAAAAAGCAGGTTAGTAGCAGAACACTTGAACCTCCCAGGACACTCCATCACTGGCCCGAGGCTGGCTGTTCTTAGGCAGCAGACAGGGGCTATGGATTCTTATCTTGTTACCTAGATTATAGTTCAGTCCCTGGCATAGACCCCTGTAGAAAAGTCAAAACTGACTAAGGTAACTGCCTGTACTTAAGAAAACACATGTGAAAAGATAAAATAACTTGGGTAGACTTCACCATTAGGTGCATGGAACATGAGAGAGTGCCATCCTTGTACATTGTGACAATCTCTCTTTGGCAACTGGTAGCTCCTCTTCTAAGTATGGTACAAAGGTAATCTTGGTGTCTAACCCAAAGTTTTCAAGGTCAAACAATTCAATAAAGAAGTTCCCAATGCCATCGTGGCAAAAGAAAGTAGGTTTCCAAGCTCCACATTCATGTGATTGAAAAAAATTGCTACCAAGATAATTATTGAGTTTGTTATCATGGGGAAACTCTTTTACCTGCTCATTTCCGAAAAGAAGATTTTACACTCAGTGCTAGAGATAACTTTGACCATGAAAACTGTTCACCAATCAGTGGCATGCCCAGTTCCCACGACACAATGCATGTCCTGTTTCAGGTGTATCCTGGTCCCAGCAACGTTTCAGGAAAGCCAAACATTTCTAAAACTGACATGATGGGAAGTGGAACCCATTTCATGAGTGAGCTGCAGTGCCAGAGAATTTGAGGTTACAGACAAGCACCTACTAAGCCTTGCCTACCTTTAGATTTCTGGGCTGATGACTCCCCTATAAACTTTGAACAAAAAGTTGAACTATGAGCAGCATCAGAGTTTGTTCTGTCCTTGGTGAAGAATGGGATTCCAAGTGAAAGCTCATCAGCCACACCCACTTCTACGTGGGCTGGATGTCATGCTTTATTATTAAGAGCAGAAACACCACTGATGCTTATTGGTTTTCGGCCAGCAATTCCAAAACCCATTACAGATTATGCAACGGTTTATACAGCCCTTAAAAGCCTTCGAAGTGTTTGCTCTCAACTGAATCAGACACCTTTCTTTTGTGCCGAAGGAGTATTCTATATACTCACAGATATAATAATGTGTAACCCATCAGAGGTTACAGACATTGTTCCAATAATGGGAAGTTTTCATTGAGCTAAAGTTGTCATGTACATTACTGGGAAGTACCTGCATGGGAGTGCTGCTCAAGATGCTTTGGTGGAATGCCGTGTATTCGGTGTTACAATTGTAGACTCAGTTATGAACGGTGAGGTCATGCAAGGGATTTCTTGCCTTGTCAGTAGTCATACAAAAAAACTGAAATGGGATGTCTTCTGGAAAATCACTGCTGCTGACAAGTATTCTGCAGTACTCGAAAATGCACAAAACCCGAAGACATCTCTCACAGATAAGGATGCAAAGACATCTCAGGACACCTGTGAAAACCTTTTACTGCTGATTCATGATCGCCATGAAGATTACAAAGCTTTCAGCATTTCCTGTCAGGCAAAATCTGAAATGTCCAAGTATTGGGATGGTTTCACTGAGCTAGTTCAGATGCTCAAAAATCTGGTAGCCACTGATAGAGAGGGTGATTGGGAATCACATCTTCAAGCTGTACAGGACCTCCTCCCTATGTTTAGGGAATTTGACAACATTAATTACTTGCACTATACATCTTGGTACTTGCGCTATATGTCTTGGTGCCTTGAAAATATGAGAGCTCTCCATGCAGATGTGTACCAAAAAATTGTAGATGGCAATTTTGTTGTCTGACAACAGAACAGGTCATTCTGTGCAGTTTCTTCTGATATGAAGCTGAAGCAAACTATTCAGAGATCTCACAAACATTCTGGTAGAGATATAATTGGCCAGACTGGGCAACAAAAGTATTCATAGATTCATAGATGCCAGGGTCGGAAGGGACCTCAACAGATCATTGAGTCTGACCCCCTGCATGGGCAGGAAAGAGTGCCCCCATTCAGATGACCCCGTTCAGATGCCTGTCCAGCCTTCTTTTAAAGACCCCCAAGGCAGGGGAGAGCACCTCCTCCCTTGGAAGCCCATTCCAAATTCTGGCCACCCTTACCATGAAGAAGTTTTTCCTGATGTCTAGCTTAAATCTGCTCTCTGTCAGTTTGTGACCATTGTTCTTTGTTACTCCCAGAGGCACCCTGGTGAACAGAGCGTCCCCGATCCCTTGCTGCGTCCCCCTAATTAATTTGTAGGTGGCCACAAGATCACCTGTCAGCCTTCTCTTGCGAAGGCTGAAGAGGTCCAGGTCCCTCAGTCTCTCCTCATAGGGCTTGGCCTGCAAACCCTTAACCATATGAATGGCCCTCCTCTAGACCCTCTCAAGGTTATCCACATCCTTCTTAAAGTACGGTGCCCAAAACTGGACACAGTACTCCAACTACGTACGGTCTGACTAATGCTGCACAGAGGGGAAGTATCACCTCCTTGGATCTATTTGTCATGCATCTTCCGATGCATGATAAAGTGCGGTTAGCTTTGCTGATGATTTCGTCACACTGACGACTCATGTTCATCTTGGAGTCCACTATGACTCCGAGATGCCTTTCCTCTTCTGTGCTGCTGAGAGGGTCACTTCCCAGCCAGTAGGTGTGCTGGATATTTTTGTGCCCTAGGTGCAACACTCTGCATTTATCCTTATTGAACTGCATCCTATGGTATTCTGCCCACTTTTTCAACCTGTTCAAGTAGGCCTGCAATCGTTCCCTACCATCTGGACTGTGCACCTTACCTCACAATTTAGTATCATCTGCAAACTTGGACAGAGTACACTTCACACCCACATCCAAGTCACTGATGAAGACATTGAAGAGTACAGGTCCAAGGACTGAAACCTGAGGGACCCCTCTACTTGCATCCTTCCAGGTCAATACCGACCCATCTACTACCACTCTCTGGGTGTGACCCCCCCAAGCCAATTTGCCACCCACCGGACTGTGTAAACATTTAAGTCACAGCTTCTTAATTTATTTATGAGAATGGGATGAGATACTGTATTGAAAGCCTTCCTACAATCCAAGTAAATGTTAATGAAT